TCTCTCTCTCTCTCTCTCTCTTGCAGTACTGGGTATTGAACTCAGGGTCTCACACAAGCTAGGCAAGCACTCAATCACTGGACTATATTCCCAACCATTTTTATCTATTTATTGGTTTTGAGCCTGGGTTTCACTTCTTCTTGAATTTGTGATCCTCCTGCTTCAGCCTCCTGAGTAGCTAAGAGTATAGGTATGCACACAATGCCTGGCAGGAACTGTGCCTTTAATTTTCCTCTGTTCATAATTTATTATTTACTTACAAGTAACTATATTTTAATATACTATTCCATAGTATGTTCCAATTTTACCTCATACATAATTTTGTGTAATATTAATAAGCACAATGGCATACATTTTTTCAAACTTTCCCTTAACAGATCCTCTTAAATATGAAAAGGAACCACAGTATCTTAAATACCATTAAATATAAGACTCAATTAGTACATTATTACTTCCAGATCAAAATAAGAAATGATTCCAACACAGAGAATATTAGTGTGTTCATTGTCTTCTGTTATTAAAATATTACCCACATACTAAAATCCAACATAGGAAGGAGAATGTGGAAGAAAAATGTAATTGTGGGAGGCTCTTGGATTGGGTGAGGGATTTGGAACATTCTTTAGCAGCTACTATAAGTAGGAAACTTTGAGAAGACGGATGTACAAAGATCTTTAGGGGCAATTGTACTATGCAGTCTCTGAATCCCTTCTTTAAGAAAAGTTATATTGAAGATATAAACTATTTTTAAAGATAAAAGGCAACATGGTTTCTAGATATGAGACAAAAAGTATTAGCAAAGGGAAACCTGTGTATTGTCACTTTACCAATTTATTATAGAGCAAATGATAAATCAGTTATTAAAGGAACACATAGCTGCTTTAGAGGTCATGAGACTTATACCAAGCAAAGCTACCATGATGTGCCTTTCTGAAACACTATAAAGAATGTTTATTTCTGGGTTTGGTGTGTACCTAGTGATAGAGAGAATGCTAAGAAGTCCACAGTTCAATCTGTAGTACCAAAAGAAAATGAAACTATATTTCTAAATTTCCATTTTTAATAGGTAAGGACATGCAAATTAGGAAAATAAAGAACTTCACTGACAAATGAAAAGAAAAATATTAAGACCAAGTGAGAAAGAATTAGCCAAGATGTTCATTATTTAAACACAAATTCACATATGAGCCCAAAGTCTTGTTTTAAAGAAGAGTATTGAGTCAAAATGAAATCTAACTTCCACATTTTTTAAGGCAGAAATAATTGTTAATTCATGCAGATGATTTTTCCAGGGGTAGAAAAGTGGGAGAAAGCAGACATTCCAGTTCTCTGAGGCAGAGGTTTTTTTTTTTGATTATCTAAATACTACCTTCACCTCTTAACGACTGGTTTTCACCAATTACTCGATTGGCTTCTACTCTGTCTTACATCCTGTGAACATGTAAAATTACCTAGGAATAATTTGCCAGGACTCATTAACTAAAAAATAAATACATCCTCAAGAAAATATGAATAAAATGGGTATAGTAACAGTGCAGGCAACTCAATAATTGGCTAAATTTATTTTAGCAAAATACCTAATAAGCAAATTCTGAAAAGATGTTTACCTGAAATGTTTTATCTCCTTTTTCATCAAGTAGAGATTGAGGTGCTGATAGAAAATCCTTTTTCTCACAGCTCTCTTGGCTGATGAGCGTGTCTGCGTAGTTGGGCTGAGGGAAGATCAGGTGGCTCTGCCGTGAGTCTGCGGTGAGGGAGACTTCATGGGAATAAGTCTGCAGGAAAGCGTGCACTCCATCCACACCCATGAAGTTCGAGGTGGGTACACCTACCAGCTTGTCACCAGCAGTCTGAAGCTGGCGGGAAGAGTGCCAGCGATGCAGCCTGAGTGCCAACAGCACTATGACAAAGGCCAGGAAAACACAGGAGACAGCGGCTACTGCCACCACCAGGTAGAGTGTGATGTCTGAATTATCTGGATCAGCAGGTGTTTCAATGCTGCCCAAGTCTGCCAGGACCTCTGGGATGCTGTCTGCCACAGCTATTGTGAGTGTGACTGTGGCTGAGAGAGGGGGCTGGCCATGGTCCTGAACAGCCATCACCAGACTCTGTTTGAGTGCATCTCTATCTATCAGGGCCCTTGCGGTGCGCACCTCTCCAGTGTGCAGCCCTACAGAGAAAAGCCCAGGCTCACTGGCCTTCAGCAAGCGGTATGACAACCAGGCATTCTGGCCTGAGTCTCTGTCTACTGCCACCACTTTAGTTACCAGGTATCCTGGCTCTGCAGAGCGGGGTGCCAGCTCCACACCAGTGGATCCATCAGTTGGGAGGGTAGGATACAGGATCTCAGGCACGTTGTCATTCTGGTCCACCAAGAACAGGTTCAAGGATACATTGCTACTGAGTGGAGGGTTACCACTGTCCAGCGCTATCACCCACAGTTGCATATCTTGGAATTCCTCATAATCAAAGGAGCGAAGAGCATAAAGGACCCCAGTGTCAGAGTTGATAGAGACGTAAGAGGACAGGGGTGCTCCTTGAAAGGTGTCCTCTGCTAAAGAATAAGTTACACGGGCATTGTCATCACTGTCGGGGTCATCAGCCAACACTGAAAAGATGGAGGTGCCTCTGGGATTGTTTTCCAAAATGTAGGCAGAATAGGACCTGCTGCGGAATGTGGGTGGGTTGTCATTGATGTCAGCCACTTGCAGCAAAACATGAGCATCTGTGGATAGAGGTGGGTTCCCGCCATCTTTAGCAGTTAAAGTGATGTTATAAAAGGAAAACTGTTCCCTGTCAAGGGTTGTGGTTGTAACCAGTCGGTGGTAATTGTCCACTGACCTTTCTAACTTGAAAGGAAGTTTCTCTGGGAGTGAACATGTGACAAAAGCATTCTGTCCAGAGTCTCTATCATGTACATTGAAAAGTGCAATTATGGTTCCTGGAGGAGAGTCTTCAGGAACTGAGCTAGTAGCAGATGTCATGTAAAATTCTGGGGCATTGTCATTAACGTCCAGAACTGTTACAATAACCTTCGTTCTGGTCAGAAGGCCTGGACCATCCTGAGCTTCAATATCAATTTCATGTAACTTAGCATCCTCAAAGTCTAGACTTTTTATGATTGTTATATCTCCAGATGACTTAAGCTCAAATATCGCTGCTCTTTCTCCAGGAGGTTTCTCTCGAAAATATGTGACTTGAGCATTATATCCCTCATCCGAATCAGTGGCAGTCACTGTGAGTATCCGGGTGCCTACAGGCATATTCTCTGGAACGCTTACATGGTACTCTGGCTGTGTAAAAACGGGAGCATTATCATTTGCATCTAGGACCTTGACACGGATGCGGCAGGTTCCAGATCGGACCGGGTCACCCCCGTCAGAAGCGACCAGAATGAAATGGTGAACTGCCTCTTTCTCACGATCCAGAGCACGCTCCAGCACTAGCTCGGGGTATTTGTTCCCATCAGTTCCGCTTCGCACATCCAGAGAAAAATGGTCATTTGAGTTGAGCTCATACTTCTTC